AATTCAGTCAATTAATTGATAAATGCAATTTCCATAATTTTTGTAGGCCACTGTATAACTCCAAAAATTATGAAATTTATTTTGGTACACTAATTTGTCATGAGGAAGCTGGCATAAAATTTTGAGCTTAATTGAACAAAGTTGATTTTATACCTAATTTAGGCTTAATTATTTAATTAATTATTTACTTAGTTAATTCTTAATCATTTAGGGTTTGTTTGACTTTGGAATTGATTGTTGACCTTAGGTCAGTAACATATGATGATCCTTGACACCTTAATTAGTTATTTGAGCTCATACCTAACTTATAATTAGTAAATCTTAATGACATTTCATGTGATAACAAAAGTCATTAGTAAGTAACTTGTCGAAACCCTAGATGTTAGTATCAATTGGTTTTGTTGGTTTGCAACTGTACCGTGAAGGAAAGTTGTATTCAAGGTGTTATTACATTTCGTGCACCATGAAAGCATCATGTTTACATTATCATCATGTTGAAGCATATGTTATTATTTCGTGTAGAATCCGAGAGTGAAACGATTCTAATTGAGCAGGTTGTGGAAGAATCCTCGGTTGTCACGGGATTCGATAATTGTGGTACTGATCCGGTACCCGAGATCGTCAACGAAGGCAAGCCCCGGTTTATGCATTAAACCATTACCTTGTTTACTTTGAAAAGTTTATCACCTATGTTACTTATTGCATTAAGTTGATTTATTCAAATGTTACCTACTTGATGCATTGCCTACCTTGTTAATTGTTTACCATCCTTGAAGATGATTTCATTTACAAAGGCGTAGAATGCTTAGTATGCTTTATGGTAGGCTTTCAAAGTAAAAGTTTTGATACAATCAAAGATGGCATAATGGCCAAAGAAAGAAAGAAAGAAAGAAGATAGAATGAACTAGAGACTAGTCGGGTGACTTATCTTGAATGTTGGGTAATGTTGCCGACTATGTCGCTTAAAGGCCACTCATTGTGGATCTTCTGAACGAGACACTTTGTGGTACTGGTCACATACTCCGGTAAGCCTACTACGGCTAATCCGATGCTAAGACGAATGCCCACGCACTGGGAGTGGAGGGATGGCGGGAGTAGCGTGTACCCTCATGGCTGGAATGTGGCTGGATTTGAGGTGTGTTGTGCTCTCGGGTGGCGTGGAGACGGCTTAGTATGGGAGGATCTTGTAGCGAGGTTGATATATGCAAGATTAAGTTCTACATATGTCGTGTGATAAGGAATCCCCAGCTGGGACTTGAATCAATTTGAATTGCCGGTGCTCCGCGGATATGGAGACTCGATTCATTACAGAAGCAATGCAGGACTGGTGAATTACTAAAACATGAGAAAAAGGAATGGAATGAGAAGGATTGGAATATGGGATATGAACACTTAGTTTGAGATAATGAACTAAAGTACTTAGGGGTAAAATTCAAAAATAGGATCAAGAATAGTAAGATTTTGGTAAAGAACTTTTGAATCTTGCTACATCCTTACCTTGCCCTAACACCTGCATCCCTAAGACCTTTGCCCCTTTTTCGTTGAGTCAGTCTTGTTGAGTACTTTTGTACTCAGGGTTTGTTAACCCTTGTTGCAGGTGAGTCGCATGCGCAGGCTTGTTTTGGTCCCTGCTGCATGTTAGTGTTTGAAGTCGATGACGATGAGGAATGATGAATGGCCTTTGGACAAGGCACTAGTTTGTGTGAAATAAATAATGTTAATGTAATATTATCCCGCTACTATGGTTGTATGATACTTATGGTTTGTAAGTTTGAAACAACTGGTTTGTAATACTAAAACGTAAGTCTTCCGCTTTATAATCTCTGGTATGTATATTGAAAACTGTTGTAATCTGCAATGTCTGTGATTGGGATCCTATTTGGAAAAGATTCGTGGATGATTCGGGTTTCCCGAGGACACCCGACAGACCTGTTAAGTTGTTGGGAACTTGTGTACGCTATCAAAGGTCTGTTGAGACATCGATAGGTGCACGTGGTCCCGATTTCTTAGGAGGTTCTGCCACACTTGTGGTAGAATATAAATAACGATACCTAGAATACTCTCGGTGAAATGATACAATGATAGTCTGTGCGCTTGCAGAATCCTTAATATTATATTTGCACTCACAACCATCAACAGACCCCATGGTCCGAAGGGTGGTCGTCCTTCTCTGTCATGGAGGAGTGTGCGTGGTGCATGCACGTCTTGTCAGGGCAGGTGCATTTAATGCGCCAACCACCTCCAGTCCTTTCTGAGTGGTCGAGGGCAAAGGTGGTCGAGGCGGCTGCGCGCCACATGGTTTTGAGGAGAAGGTAGGCCGCATACCTTATGGTCGAGGGTAAGAGTGTTCGAGGCGGGCCGCAGATGCTGGGCCACCCCGAGTGTTTTGTTAGCCATGCCATGGGGCACCCCGAGTATGTGCCCACAACATAACTGGACTAAGGTAGTTCCTTTGAAGAAAATGACACACAAGGAGGTAATTGAGTTTATTACTAAGCATATCATACATAGATTCAGCATCCCTCAAACATTAACTTTAGATCTAGGGACCTCATTTGTGTCAAAAGAGGTACATAATTTTTTTGAATTATATAAGATTAAGTTGCTCAATTCATCTCCATACTATACTCAAGCTAATGGTCAAGCCAAGTCTAGTGATAAGACTTTGATCAAGTTCATCAAAAAGAAGATTGAGGATAATCCAAGGAGGTGGCATGATGTTTTGTCCATAGCTCTATGGGAACATCGCATATCTAGGGATGGTGCTACAAATGTTACTCCTTTTGAGTTGGTATACGGACAAAAAGCTGTGTTACCCATTGAGGTGAATTTGGATGCATATAGGTTTGCTAAACAAAATAATTTATTCGCTGTCATGTATCATGATTTGATGATGGATAATGTCAATGAGGTGGCTGACAAAAAAATTACCAGCTCTCAAGGAGATGGAGAAAGACAAGGCTCAGGTTGCCAAAGCTATAACTAGAAAGTGAAAAGCAAGTCATTCCAAGTTGAAGATTTAGTGTGAAAAACCATACTACCACTTGGGGTGAGGAGCAACAAATTTGGCAAGTTGTCACCAAGTTGGGAAGGTCCGTATAGAGTGATCAAAGTGATATTTAGAAATTCATATCTACCGGAGACGTTGCAAAGTGATAGTCTTCCTAGAGCAATTAACAGAAGATACTTGAAAAATGTACCAAGTGTTTGATAAGAAGCCTAGAGTACTTTCCAAACAATGACTGATACATGTATTGCCCTTAGAATAAATATGGCCGGTGTATACATCGCCCTTAGATACTAGATAGCCAATGAGTTGGGCATCGTTGCTATTTAGTGCTTTAATTATGTTTTCAGGTTAATGCTTCATTCATCTAAAAACAGGGGAGCATATGATGACACCTAAAATGTCTCGACGTGGAATATATGGCCGACATCAATAAGTTCATGCATCTCAGAGGTCTTGGAAAATATTTGGCGCAACAAACAACGAAAGAATCAAGTAAAAAAAGGAGACGACACCTGTCCCAGCAGAGTCGGCTTCGTTGGCTCACCATGCTGGCTTAGCCGGTTCATCAAGCCCCAGTCGGCTTAGTCTACTGCCCCCTGCTACAGGGCGAGCCACAGTGCTCGAGCCCGTGAAAACCGGCTTAGCTAAGCCAACTTTTCCTACTGTTCCGAGTTGGTTAGTTTTCAAATCAGTTTTGGATCTATTTTTGGTGTGGGAAACTTGAAGAATGCATTTTGGACTTGCTTCCTACTGGGATAATACCACCCCATCTATATATATGAAAGGATCATAGCCGATTGAGGAGCCCAACTTCCAATTGTAAACAATACATCTACTACACCATGTTTACACCTTCCTCTCCATACCTTAGTGTTCGTCACGTCTCTCAGCAAGATTTGTTGGCGTCCTATGTGGCCTTGCTGACCGTAGGATAACATTCATGTGCTCCTCCCTAATGGGTCTTCCTGAGAGGTGTTCGGAAGTCTACCAGGTGAAGAACGGGCTCAATATCGGCCTAACTGGTCTATAGATCGGTTTTCGTCGGTTCACTGCGTTCTTGCTACGATAAGGTCGTGTGTCGACCACGGACATGCTAGCCGTGGTGTGTGATCCGAAACACCATCCGGCATCACCAAGCGCGCTGGATGCAGCACTGAGATAGGAGCAGCGGAGGCGACGCTGCATGTGGGATGATGACGCGTGACTCATACGGTGGTGGCGCCGGGCGACATGTGTTTTTTTCTCTTGAAGGATCGACGAAAAAAGAGCGTACGTGAGGAGTGGGCCGAAAAGACGGAACGTGATCCGAACGGTTGGGCATGAATAAAATGGGCGAGATGAAAGGATGTGAAAAAAAATTACTCTTTAATAATAGGTATACATAGGCCCCGTTTGGCAGGGCTTCTCCACCGGCTTCAGGAGCCGTTTGGAGCCGTTTTTCTACCAAACGGGGTAAAGTAAAATAGCTTCACTTGTGAAGCCCCTAAAAACATGCTCTCACAGTGATTTGGGGTGGGATGGAGCCAAAAAAAGTGGCTTCTCCCGGCTCCTCCTCCAGGGCCCTAAAAACATGCTCTCACAGGGAAGCCATTTTGCCAAACGATTTACCAAAACTGCTTCAGCTCCATCGGTGGAACTGTTCGTGGAGCTGAAGAAAAAAAAATTGGCTTCACTAGTGAAGTGAAGCCTTGTCAAACGGGGCCATAAATATAGGCTAATGCCACGCCTGACACATGCACCCTCAGGGGTAAAAACGGAAACGATTAAATACTTTGCCACAAGGGCGGCTGCTGCCTGTGCTACAGAAGCATCACGCCGTTCGAACCTTGCCCTGCGCCCCTGAACGAGCCTGGTTGCTCCCGAACCCCTCCAAGAAAAGGCGGCTCCAACAACCAGAGCGCTCATCAGCAAAATCTGTACAAGATCCGCCCTCGATTTGGGTAGCACGAGTGAACGTGAGGCCGGGCCGTCGAGTGAAACAAGATTCGCCATGGGGCGGAACAGGAAGGAGTCAGGCTATCCGACGGCGGCTCTAGAGGAGGAGCAAGAAGAGGCGGAGGAACATACTGAGGAGGGCGACGACCAAGAGGGGGAGGAACAGACGGAGGAGGGGTCTGGTGCGGAGGATCAGGCCGAGGCTGAGGCGGAGACGCCGGCACAGGAAGCAGTGGAGCCGCCGAAGCTGGCCGAGGGCTTCTACGAGATTGAGGCCATCCGCCGCCGCCGCCTCCGCAAGGGCCAGCTTCAATACCTCGTCAAGTGGTCGGTGGCGGCCCTTGCTCTCCCAAATCCCAATCTTTCCCCTTTTTGCAATTTTCCCCTAGGCGTAGCGCTTCGTCTTCCTTGATTCTTGCTTGGACGGTAGTCCAGATTCTTGCGCAGTTAGTACCGTTTGGGCGTGGTTTAGTGTTTAATACACCACATTTGTTTGTTGTTTGATGGGATGGTGACTCTCGAAGTAGGTTGAATTCAAGGGCACTGGAAACTATCGTTTTTTTATTGGTTCGTGCAATGCGTTTTCCTTGTCTATTTATTTTTATTCAAATATCATCATGGCTCGTGGACGTATCTAGTACGATGTAGATGCTAAGTCATGAACTCCACATTCAAGAATGGATGTTTGGCATTGGAGCAATGCTCTACTGAAGTAATTTCTGTGATTTTGAACACAACTATTCCATTCTCTTTTTAAATAGAGCGCGCGTTGCAGCATTTGCAATTTGGTGGCCAACTTTGGTAGTCATTGAGTCATGTTTTCCTCTAACTTCATGTTTGCTTCATTAAATAGATTCATTGTGTAATGCATAGTTGCTCTTTCTTTCCTTGATTGAGAACTACGGATTTGAAAGCTGAATGTTGTGTATATGCATGTTTACTGCATATATATTACTGCTGATACTGTATTCCTACCAATTTGATGTGATTTAAAAGGCGTGGGTGGCCGGAGAGTGCGAACACATGGGAACCCCTTGAAAACCTGAAGGCCTGTTCCGACATTGTTGATGCTTTCAATAAGCGGTATGAATGTGTATTGCTTCTGTTCAGCATTAGATTCACATGCGCAGCTGAATAACATTGTTTGCTGGTTGTTTTATGAAACACAGGTCAAGGTCGCCCAGGTCCTCTCGAAAGCGAAAGCGTAAGACTGCAACATCTCCAACATCCGATCCTAACCCTTCTCATGGCAAACGTGGCCGACCACCTCGGTCGGAGGCCCGGAGCATGCAAGGCATACATGCCTCAGAAGTGAAGAAACTGCCCTGCAGGACAAGTAGTAGGAGAGCAAATAATAATAGTAACAAGACCTCACCTGGGGGCCTTGATGCATCAGTGAACTTGCTTGGGCAAAGAGTAGTACAGGAGGGTAGTTCTGGTGTGGTCTCAGTTGGGTTTCTGTCTCAAGGGGCTCCTTTATCTGTTAGCTTGACTGACCAACAAGATGTGCAGCACCCTGCTAATGGTTCATTGAAGGTGGACAATTCAATACGAGCAACCCCACCTCAGGGTGGACAGGTGACAGGTGCCAAGAAGCGCAAGTCTGGATGTGTCAGAAGGTTCAAGCAGGATGAAGTAACACAGGAGCAAGGAGATATCCGTGATCGCACGAGTGACAAGCCAGGCAATGAGACTGTTGATTCCACAGAAGGAGAAACTGGTGATAAGAACAAGGGGGAGGACTCTGGTAACCAAATTCATATGCCTAAGATCATTAAGATCATCAAGCCAGTTCGCTATTTTGCCACAGTTATGGATGGTGTGCAGCAAGTTGCAATAACATTCAAGGCACTCAGGTCATAGCTTCTTTCTTAGTTCGCGGATCTTATTTTCTGAATCTCTAGAAAAGTTTCGTGTTCACATGCTGACGGTGCTTGGTATTTTGGCATTGCTCCCTTTCAAATTAGAGCACTATCATCACAAGGAATGATACTTTATGCAACATATAGTGATAAAACCACATGTTCACACAGTAGAGTGCTTGGTTTGCTAATCTTTGCTGGAGTCACCTAAATGTTTTTTTGTATACTTTGAACCAATTCAGGATTGAGGAGTAACTGTAAAGAGAAATTTGCATCCAATCTGGGTTTTGATATTATCGCCTGCTTATTGTCTTATCTGAAGGCACTAAGGTGATGGTGCAATAAGTTGTTTAATTTAAATCATAGAATGATTTATCTCTGCTGTAGTGTACATTTAAAGATCTGTTTTTTTTAAAAAAAGGGCGTACCCAGTGCAGAGAGCTCCCGCTCTGTGTGGGGTCTGGGGAAGGGTGTTAGTGGCAAGCCTTACCCTCGCATGTGCAATGCGAGGAGACCGCGACTCGAACCCGGGACCTTCCGGTCACAGGCGGTAAGACTCTACCGCTTGCACCAGGCCCGCCCTTCATTTAAAGATCTGTTTTCATGCCTTTTTTTATTTTTTTTACTTCTTATGCACTGGATTTTCAAATCAATTACTTTTACTTATAATCTTGGGTTATGGTAGAATTGTCTTCAAGTTAATTTGTTTGATTGAGTTTTGAATGGAATTGATTGGATAATATAAGTATGCTAACTTTACAAAGATAATCTGGGAGGCCTTCATTTAAAAACTTGAAATGTGCATTTGTTGATTCTGTTATATCTGAATTTAGGGGATTGCATACTTTTATACATGATTCACTGTCTAAAGACATTAGTGTCCAACAGCAAAGATTATAATTGGGCATTGGAGTCATGTCTGTAGCAGCTGTAGGTTTAACAAATGGTTATACTATTGCATCATACAGTCATAATGAATTGTTTGTTGTCCTGTGTTTTGGAGCTGGTCTCGAAGGTACTGGCTTGACTTGGTTATTGGTATGAGTCGCCGGTGCTATACTTGATACTAGAGCTTTGTCTAGTTAATACTACAATATTGGTTTAGGCAATTTGGGAGCTTAAAATGTGCATTTGAAGATTCCAGTGTTCCTCAACTTAGGGAACTACATTCTCAGCCATTCAGTTCCAAGTAAGTTGTGGTAGGCTATAGTTGAAACCCAACAAGAGCCCGTAAACTCGGTTTAGGCACGTCAATAGCTGCTTTGTTGTTTAATACATATTGGTATGAAACCCTACTATATATCCAGTATAGAAGCGGTTGGTGTGCATCAAATTTGAGAAATAGTGTGTTCCAAAGCATGCAACACACTATTTTGTGGGTTCTTATAGTATCAATAAAATATTCTTTTGTCTCATAGATTGCTGTATTATTAAAGTCATTAACTGTATTGTGAATTATTGTAGTCAGGTCAAATGCCCTTTCAAAATGGTTTTGCACTAAACAATGAGCACTCTGTTCTACAAGAAAAGAACACTCAAGCTCTTCCATTTTGAAACCTCGATGGTGGTATTCTTTGTATTCAAATAAAGAAAAGCGGTCTATGGCCTTTAGTCAAAAGGGAGATTACATAGCTTTGGAGGTAGCATATCAATCCGGCATTAAAATGCAGAACCTTTGAAGGCATTATGTTGAATTGATCTAACTGATGTTCTGATAACTCATCATGGAGGAGCAGTCATCCTATGTTTAAGTTTGTATCCTGCATTGTTATTGCTGTTGAGTGTGTGTGTGTGGTTTCTATCTCTAAATTCTGACTATCATGAAGTGGTTTACATGTCTTGCCAACATAACACCCTTGCACGTGTCTTTGATATAAGGTTTGCTGAACATTTCTCCTGACCAACATGATCAACAGGTCTGACGGAGAGGAGGTATTCGTGGATGACAAGCAGTTGAAAGCTAAGGAGCCCCTGGTGGTATGACCTCGTTGTCTTCTCATTTCACTTGATGAAGGAAAATGTAATGACACCACAACAATTATTATTCTGGTTTGCAGCTTATTAATTACTATGAGCAACACCTTCGCTATAACCCCACCTCGTGAGAAGGATGCATTGACGCCGCTGTGTTTCAGTTGCTTGTGCTGCACCTATGTTTGGAACCGATGGAGATGTATTTAAATGTAGTATTTTTTTGTGCTAGATATATCTGTTGCTCTATTTGAGTAAGTAGATGATTAGTCTGCACTCTTCTCATTTAGTGGTCATTTTGACTTTCTGAGTGCAAGTAAAATATTGACAGCATGGTTTGCCAGACGAACTGCTCGCTATTGTGTGTATTATATGCTAAGAAGTTAGTTGCTTTATTGTACCCGCTGTGCTGGTGATTGGAGTTTTTTTATCAGCAAATTTGATAGCATTTCATTTCCAGCAAGTTTGAACCAATTCCACCGTGTGCTTTCTTTGGGCATTTGGCAAGGTCATCTATGCCGGACATGTTAAGGTGGCGTATTCGGGTTGATTTGTTTGGGGTGCGATAGCGTTTCATGTCCAGATTTTGAGACATGCTAACCGATTGACCGTTATGGTCTACATGTCTCAGCGTATGTTACCCATCCGGCTTGGAGATGGTATTAGTCTCAGTACAAGATAGGGGTATGGTTTGTGCGAAATATATCATAGGCTCAGAAATTGGTTTGTACGCATCTGATGGTACTCCTAGGTGACGAGGCTCAAGTGGAAGCTCTCTTTGATCTATTTGGAGATAGTGCTAATCTTGATGCATGATAGGTGTATGGTTTGCATCGAACCTACAATAGGCTCATAAATTATTTTGGAAGCACCCGATGGAACTCTTAGGTGACGTGAGTCTTATGGAATCTCATTTCGGTCTATTCGGAGACCGTGTTAGTGACGGTGCAAGATAGCTGTACAGTTTGCGTCAAACATACCATAGGTTTAGAAATCGTTTTGGACGCACCCGATGGTTCTCCTAGTTGACGATGCTCTATTTGAAGCTCGATTCGGTCCGTTTGGAGACAGTGCTTATCTTGATGCAAGATAGGTGCACGGTTTTCACCGAACGTACTATAGGCTCAGAAATTATTTTAGATGCACCTGATGAAACTCCTAGATGGCGTAGGTCTTGTGAAATCTTGTTTTGGTCCGTTTGGAGACAGTGTTAGTCTCAGTGCAAGATAGATGCACGGTTTACGTCAAACGTATCATAGGCTCCGAAATTATTTTATACGCACTCGATGGTACTCCTAGGCGATGAGGCTCAAGTTGATGCTCATTTCCGTCCGTTTGGAGATACTGCTAATCTTTACCAAGATAGGTGCACAGTTGAAAGGGTCGAGATGACGACTAGAAGGGGGTGAATAGTCCTTTTTAAAATTAATTGCGTCGGCTAACCGAAACAAGTGCGGAATTAAAACTATCGATCTAGCCAATACTACACCCCTCTATCTATGTTCTCTAGCACCTTTCAAAGATACTAATTAAGCAACTAAGGTGCAGGGCTAGCTAGAGCTCTTCTAACCAATTCTAGGAGCAAGATCACATAAACCTATGCCACTAGTACTTTAAGCAACAAGGGAGCTCCTACACATGCTAGTAAGCAAAAGCACAAAGCCACCTAAGCTCACTAGCAATGCTCAATAACAAGGCAACCAATGCCAAATTAGAAAGCGCAATTACTTAGCTACACAAACTAAGCAATGTGATTAACAAGGTTACACAAACCAAATTAGCCATGCAAGGAAGCTACTTCTATGCTACACAAGCAAGAAGGTAACTAGTGAGCTACACAAGCTTAACTAGATACAAGAGCAACTACACAAGCACAATGTATATGAAAGTAATTACAAGCTTGTGTAACGAGGATGCAAACCAACGGGAAGAACAAGGTTGACACGGTGATTTTTCTCCCGAGGTTCACGTGCTTGCCAACATGCTAGTCCCCGTTGTGTCGACCGCTCACTTGGTGGTTCGGCGTCTAATTGGCATCACCCGCCAAGCCCGCACGTCGGGCACCGCAAGAAGCTACCCCGAAAGTGAGGGTAGCTCAATGACACGCTCAACTAGAGTTGCTCTTCGCGGCTCCCGCGGGGCGAGCACAATAACCCTCACAAAACTCTTATCCGGAGCACCGCACAAGCTTCTTGCGGGCTTCGACGGAGACCACCACCAAGCCGTCTAGGAGGTGGCAACCTCCAAGAGTAACAAGCACCATCGGCTTTAACTCGATCATCTAGTGTCACTCGATGCAACCTCATGATGCAATCGCACTAGAATCGCTCTCTCACACAATCGGATGATCACTATTAAGCATATGTGAGATGGAGGGCTCCCAAGCACTACCACACAAGCCACCAAGGCTCTAGTGTGCTCAGCTCCCGGCCCAAGGCCGACCATGGCTTCTATTTATAACCCCACGAATAAATAGAGCCATTACCCCTTCACTGGGCAAAAGTCGGGACGACCGGACGCTAGACCTCAGCGTCCGGTCACGCGATACTCGCCACGTGTCCCCTCCTTCAAACGTTGTTCTTCCAATCTCAATGGTCATCTGACGACCGGACGCAGCAGCTTCAATTGACCGGACGCTGAGCCTCCAGCGTCCGGTCGTTTCCAGTAAGGTTCCAGAAACGACATTTCACGACCGAACGCGTCCGGTCGATCATGATCGGACGCAGCACCAGCGTCCGGTCACTCTCCAGCTTCTGCTCTGCTTGCATCACCATACGTCAGCTCTGACCAGACGTAGGACCCCAGCGTCCGGTCACTACGTGACCAGCGTCCGGTCCACTCTGTGAGACCCTGTCTTTTCTGTATAGGGCGCCGGTGGCACCGTCGGACTGTCCGCACTCTACGTGCGGACACTCCGCTGGTGGAGTTTCTCCTTTTGGCTCCATTTCTTCACCGAGTTGATCCACATCAACTCCAACTTCATCTCCTTTGTAAATGTGCCAACCCCACCAAGTGTACACCACCATGTGTATGTGTGTTAGCATTTTCACAATCATTTTCCAAATGATTAGCCACTCAACTTGCCACGCCACTCGATCCTAGTGATGATGTAAAGTTAGATCACTCGAATGGCACTAGATGACCGATATGCAAACAAGTTTGCCCCTCTTGATAGTACGGCCATCTATCCTAAACCCAGTCATAAACTTCTCTACACACCTATGACCGGTGAAATGAAATGCCCTAGGTTATACCTTTGCCTTGCGCATTCCATTCCATCTTCTCCAACGTCGATGCAACACATGCACCAACACGATCAACAATGATATGATCCACTTCATATCATCACGTGATCATATTGGTTCATCGATCTTGACTTCACTTGCTCTTCACCGTTGCCATCGTCCATCGGCGAGAAGTCTTGCTCAAGCTTCACTGCCACGCGGTCCATCACTCCAAAGCCTCCGACTTGCCCTTCACGCTTGTAACCGGTCCATCAAGCCAAGTCTTGTCTTGATCTTCTCCACCTTGATCACATGACTCAATGTCATGTCTCATGTGCAATGAGCTCCTTCATCATCACATGTGTGAGCTTTGCAACATCTCCAAGCCATTTTCACCTTCATGGCATATGTTGCTCACACACATGTACCTGTGGACTAATTACCTGTGTATCTCATATAAACATAATTAGTCCACCTAGGTTGTCACTCAATTACCAAAACCAAACAAGGGCCTTTCAATCTCCCCCTTTTTGGTAATTGATGACAACTCTACAAAGATATGGAAATTAAGCTCTTTTGGATTCATGTTGCTTGCCCAAGCAATTTTACCATGTGTAAATGATTTTGGACAAGTACCACAAACCCGAAATGGTAGTATTAGCTCCCCCTACATATGTGCTAGAGTATTTGATTCTAAGCTCACATATATGCATAGATTAAAATTGTGGGAGAGTAATTACTACTAAATGATGCTAAGGTGTATAGAATAAACCTTTGAAGCGTGTACCAATCGGAGTTGCACCTTTAAGTTCATCCTTAGCACCATAGTTAGCTAGATATCACTTGGAAATAAAAGCACTAGATACCTTGTGAGATCAACATTAAAAGCAAGGTACTAGCATTACTTGAAAAGCATACCAAGTGTCTAGCTATCATCCTATGCATGCTAGTTATCAAATCATCATTCAAGTTCTATAACTAGCATACAACACACAAGCATGCATATTGAATATAAGAACTTATGCAATGCAAACAAGCACATGAATATGCACATATCAAATGCAATCAATCAAAGTTCATGAGCTTGCTCCCCCTACTTGTGTGTTTCTCTTGTCCAAGAATTTTGATCCATCTCTTTTCTCCAATGTTGCTCCCTCTTTGTCCATATTCATATCCAACCTCTTAAGCTTTCATATCTTATCTCTCCCCTTACACACGTTATCTCTCCCCCTTATAAAGGCTTTCATATCTTTGTACAATCTCTCTCCCTTTGTCATTAATTTCCATAAAAGGTGAGCTTCTCATTGATGCAAAGGTATGCATTTGGGGTAGATGGTTGATGCTTGAATCTTGCATTTTTTATGGACATCACTTGATTGTTGAAATGACACCACTTGTAGATTCCACTTGTAACTTGTACCACTTGTATGTTGTGTAGGGCTTCTTGAGATACCACACATAAGATTTTTGATCTTGAGATCAATTTGTGGGACACCTTCCCCTATGTGATAGCATGGGTCATCCATTTGATACACTTGAGCTCTTGTAGGTGAGGGATGCATTATTCATTTGATGATCACTTAAAGTTGAGGATCACTTGTGGAATCATCGTCTTGCATGATTGATACCATGTATAGATGTGATACCACTTGTATGAAGTGAATACCACTTGAAAGAATCTTCTAGTTAGGAACCACTTGTTGGATTTATTAATAAAAACTATTTCTTGAATATTTGTTATCTTCATGAGTACCACTTATAGGATATCACTTGTGAGTTGATCTAGACATCATTTGTAGATTCTTGATGAAATACTTGAGTCTAGATACTATTTAAAATATACAAACTAGATATCCATTTGCATTGTTGTCTTGTGCTTGTACTCTTATCACTATCGTGAGCTTCTAATG